ATGATGCATGACTGTTTTCTTTTCTTTTGGCTCGTCCACACGACGCTTTTCTTTTCCTTTTGGTTCGTCCATGGATGTACTATTCATTATTTATACTAGTGATTAATCTTCTCGTTAGATTGAAAACATTTTAAAGAGTGGGATAGCTGACCCCAAGATTTAATGTGGCTGCATACACAAAATAAGATTCAAATTTTTAACCACACGCTTGAAGTTCACACTTTTCTTTTCTATGCGTTCAGCAGCCTTACCTTTCTTCTCAGCAATTTCCACGGAACGCTTAATGCCACTTTTGATTATTTAATTTCTGCACATCTTTAAATAATAGCATTAAGGGTTACAGTAATGTCTATGTAAAAAATATCATTAATGTCAATTTTTTTAAAGAAATAATTAAGTTCATTGAATTATTTTAGATTAAACGTATGATATAAAGCTTAAGTATTGATAAACAATTTATGTTAGTTCAAGAATAAATGCTATTATTATATATTTTTTAATTATAATATTGATACAAAATATTTATAATTAATATGTTAAAAAAATTGTTGACTAGTAAGATTTCTTCTCCTAACAATATTTTTCATTTACATTACTCAAATTTAAAGAGATCGACACCGAATCTTATAACACTTGGATCAATAATTTTTTGATAAATGAGCTAATGTATTTAAACTTTATACTTGTTTAATTTGATATATTTATCAATTTTATTAAATGAAATACTTAATTAAAAAAATCTAAATGATCAACCTAGTGAAGGAATGAGGTATTATGTAGTATGCACAAGTTATAGACGTGAAATATATATGTTGAGCATTGTACACATAAAAAAAAAAAAAAAAAAACTACAAGAACAATGTTAATAATTAATAAACATACAACTAAAAGTAAGATTAATTTCTTCATAAATAATTGTTCTCCAAACTATTTTACTCATATTTATTGTTTTTAGTTCATAAATGATTTTTTTAATCAACAATTTTCTTATTCAAGTGGAATTGGATTGATTCCTTTTAAACAAGTCATTGACTTTAAATCTTGTAAAAAAAAATTATGATTAAAAAATCACATTATAAGTAATTAATCAAATTTTTTAATAAAGATTAATTATCAATAACAATAAAGTTGATGGATATTTCATATTAATAATATGATGACTAATTTTTTTCAACATAATTATACATAAAGTTAAATATTTTTCATTATTAAAAATACAATTAGATTGTTTTTAGTGTGTATCGAACTCATGCAAAAATTATCTCCAAGTTATGATATGTTGAACGTTTCTATTTTTCATTTGGTTCTATTAAGTTATTGGTATCATGATTAATTTCATTTGCAAGCAAACTCGCTAACATATAAAAGAAACGTAAGGAAAATAAAGAGCAGGTCGTGTTTATAATTTTTTCAAATCTTTAGCAAATCTTATATTTATGTTATACTAATATAAATCATCTATTTTAACTTTATTATTCTAATGTTAAAATACAAAACCATAAGTTAAAAATTAATTTTTAAACAATGTCAACCTCTGACTAAATAGTTATTCATTAATTATTATTTTTCAACTCAAATTAAATTTGAAAAAGGTAGTTTTAAAAGTTTTTTTTTCTTTGACAATGACAACACTTGCAAATATTATTATTATTATTCTATAAATATTACATATATATGCATGTAAAAACAATCAATTTTAATAGAAAGAAAATGTATGATACATCGATTATGTAAAGTAATTTTACATCATCGTCAAATCACAAATCACAAAGTTATTGACTTTTACAATAATTAAGTAAAAAATTATATTAATAATGATATTTGATTGGTTGTAAATATAAAATCATTTTAAACTATTAGATTATGATTATTAAACCTTTTTAATATAGGTTAATATTTTTAATAAAAAATTAATTATGTTTATCTTTCGTTTAATAATACCTTCAATTCAGGAGACAAAAAAATATCAACAATATCAAATTAACCTTCTCAGCTATTATAATTTGAATTAAAAAGTTCAAAGTAAGTTAACATTTTAAGATTTCTCCGAAAGAATTAATCTTTAAGTAAATGTGTAGTACCGTGACTCTCATTTTCATTAAAATATTTTTCCTATGGATCATAGAAATTTTAGGAAATTTAATCGATATATTCATTTTAGTGCCATTTCTTTTGAATTCAAAGTAAATGTACACTATTTTTATCTATAACTTTTTGAACGAGTGACAAAATTTTCAAATAATTTACAATATTTATATACAATATATTTATATATTATTAATAAATTAACTACAAATAATATAATAAAAATGTATCATTTAATAATTTAAATTATTTTTTTATGATTATATATAAAATTGAAGAGTTTGAATGGGATATGAGGTAAAGGTGTTATTGACACTGCAGCTACGACTCTAATATAGAGAAACGATTAGGAAAAAGGATTTACGAGAAATAAACAATAGACGTTACTTATCGACTAAGATTTATTTATTTCAATTATGTATGTTTACATGTTTTTTCACCTAAGTACCTTTTTCTTGATCATTCTTTTGTTTGTTCGAACACTTTTGCAAGTAAAAATTCATCATATGGGCTGTAAATTCACGAACATCTGAAAAATAAAGTCAATTATAAAAAATATAGAATTAACTCAATCATAAAGAATAATTATAAAACCTTAAAAAAGACTAGTGATATGAGAGAATAAATACCAAAGTTTCTGTCAATGGCTTCAATGGACATTTGATTACATTGTGCAAGACAATTAGCAACACACGATTTAAACTTTGGTGGATCACATAGAAAAATTGCACAATCATTGCAACACGTATAAATACAAGGAATACTAGTTGGATCATTGCGCGGCTCAACTTCCGCAAATGAATTGTAATTGGCTTGTGTCAAATCTAACATAATTATCATCATAATCGTAACCTGAATAATTTTTATCTCATTTTTTGTCATTTTTTTTCTCCCGAGTCTTTGTGAAATATCTTTGAATTTTGTACAAATGTTAAATTTTTGTTGTGATGTTTCTTAAAAAAAACAACATCAATTTATAGGCATGAAATAATGCATATAAAATAGCTTCAACTCATTGTGACACTCTCTACCCCAACATTAATACACAATAAATGTAAATAATAAATTTTTTTCTTTTTGAGTAAATAAAATCTTTCATAATTTGATAACATCTTTTATGAATAAAATAATTGTCTCAAATATCATAAGATAGAAAATTCACATTTGTAACTCATAAATCATAAAAAGTCAACATGTAAGTATCAAAACTCAAGAAATCATATAAAGGAAAATATAGATTAATTCTAGCAAAGGTGGCAATTCCTCCTAGTTAAGAATTAATTTATAACTTCCAAATCATATAATAAAAATAATATGACAAAGATGTACATTTTGGTCTTTTATCAAGAACATTCAAAATTACAAAAGAAAAGATAACTAAGGCTTTCAAAACAATAACATCATGAACTAAGCCTAGTCATGCCCCGATGTCACATATCTTATTAGAGCATGCCCAACTGAAACCTTAAGCCTCATCACCAACATTCTTATGATGATGATTACCTGCAACATAATTTAAACATATACAAGAACAACAAGAGAGTGAGAAATATCTCACTCAGTTTCAGATGCAGAAATAAAGGTTAGATAGCACACACACAAAACAAATATAAGTCACATGTAAACAATACACATACATAATCAATATCACATATACACTCATTTATCATGCAATGATGTCATGGACTCGATTCATAAATGCATGCATGTGGCGCCATACGGAAATTTCACATTTCTCATAGCTTGTTACATCACTGGTAACCCTAAGGTACACCTTGTTAGCATGTTACGTCGTGGGTGACCCTAAGGTACACCTTGTTAGCAGGTTACGTCATGGATGACCCTAAGGTACACCTTGTTAGCATGTTACGTCATGGGTGACCCAAAGGTACACCTTGTTAGCTGGTTACATCACTGGTATGCGGCCTCAGCGGCGCACCTGGAATTATATATGTATATGATGCATGTCATACATTCATTATTTCATTGACTCAACATTTGACTTATTACAAAATTTCATTTAGTACATCATGTCATAATTTTTCATATTCTCATAGTCATAACTTGTCTCAATAGTCCATTCTTATGTCTCATGTCCTTTGTGCATATTTCACATAGTCATGTCATGATTATTCCTCATATGGTCAGCGCAGGAATCTACAGAGAGCATTCTTATTCATCTTAAAACTTATTTATTTTTAACATTAATTACATATTCATTTATTACTTCCAACAAGGAATAAAGTAGAGCAAATAAAAAATAAAACAGAACACATTAATACTTTACATGTTCCTAGAAGCATGCAATAGGCAAGGGATTGGGGGCCAATCCGACAATCAGACTATCCAACAATTATTCTCACACTCCCGAGCGAGGTTTCTCACTCCCCCCTTACCTCGATAAGCAGGAGTTGAAACTAGAGCAGGACCTTGTTACTCTTTTCCTCTGGACTCTCTCTTTCTTTCTCTCTCTTCCTTTCTCTTTTTGTCTCTTTCTTTCACTTTCTCTCTCTCTTTCTCTCTTTAAGTTTTTACCTTCTCAGTTATATTTTTTTCACAGCCCATGCCTCCTATTTATAGGCATCCAGGGGTACCCAGAACGACCCGTTCTAGAGCCATTTGTTACATGCAAAATTTACAACTGGAACGACCGTTCTAAAATCAGAACGGGCCATTTTCAAAAATCAGAACGGCCCGTTCTCAAATTAGAATGGCCCGTTCTGGGGTTCATTTTAACACATATTGACCATAATTAGAATGACCCATTTCCAACTAAACTTTTTAGGCATTTTTAGAATCTTAGAACGGTCCGTTTCACTTTGGGAACGGCCCGTTCTGGAATAACCCAAATGGGCCTCTTTACTAATTTGGAACGGCCCGTTCCACTTTTGGAACGACCCGTTCTGCTACTTCAAAAATAGTTTACTTTCATTGTTTGAAATGACCCGTTCCACTTTTTGGAACAACCCGTTCTAGGCCTAAAAAAAATAGAATTTTATATAAAAAAATTTCATAAATAATTTAAATTATTACAAACCTTTACAATATTCTATAAAACTCCTTTAATTAACTAAAATAACTATAAGAAAATAATCTTCATAAATATAAAAATAAATAATAATTAATATTGTATTAGTAAAAAATTTGAGGTGTTACACTCATCAATAGAATTGTGCATCAATCTTATATCATAATAAAATGATTTAAAAATTAATAAAAAAACTTTATAACATAGTATATAAATAAATAAATGAGATTTATTATGTCACGTCATTCTTAAGTAACTTTCACTATATTTTTATAATTTTCATTTTAATGGTTGGATCTTTTAAGCAACCAACACTTTTATGATTTTTTTTATTTACACTTCACTTATTGAATACTTAAAAAATTAATATAATTATTATAATTAAATATTAATTCCATTAAACATAATAAATAAAATATATATAATTTTTTTTACACAATTAATTTAATACGCGTAAAAATATTAAATATTGAAAGTAAAGAAATTACATAAACATGAAAATATATAATGGTAATAAATGACTAATTTTTTATTTTTGGGTGATGAAAGGTTAATGATGCATATCTTTTTTTTTTTTGTTGGAGTGATTTATGTTCTAAACAACATTATTTATTGTCATTATTTATTTTTAAGTAATTTCTTGTGTCATACCATAACACTCCAATAAAAGTTATAATAAATATTATTTCTTGTTCATAAGTATGTTGAAGATAAATACAATAAATAATGTTATTTACATTTATTAGTATTAAATGTATCAAAATATTTATTACATGTTTTAATTACTTATATTAAATACTATATTCATTCCTATTTATACGATCCAATTTAGAACAATCACTTATTTTTTTTATATAAAATTCAACTTATTATCTCATATATTAATTATTTTTAGACTAAAATATCTTTAGTTAAAGTGTGTTATCTTAATTTGGTAAAATACATTAATTATATTAAAGCATACTAAGGAGGTGTATTGAATTAGGATTTTAAAAGACTTTTTTAGTTAAAAAAATGTTGCAGATTTTAAAAGATTTTGCAGGATTCTACAAGACTTAAAATCAGGATTTTAATGAATTCTGCAAGACATTTAAATCAGAATTTTAATGGATTCTGTGAGATTTTATGAAGTTTTGACATTTGATAAGATGTAAAAAAAATTCATACATTCAAATTTAAAAAGAGTCAAAGATAAAAATAATAAAAAAAAAATAATAATGTCTAGATAAATAATAATAATAATAATTTTCCACAATATCCTATCCTCTTTTTATAGCATCCAATATCAATTGTAACAATTCATCGGAATCATCCTTAGTCCAAGCTTCATAGTTTTCTTTCTCTTTTTCTTTTTATTTATTATTTCCTTGTAAATCTCTCATTTGAATTACTAAAACAATATATGTTGAAAACTAGTTATATAAATAATTATGGATAAAAGACAAAATCAATAAAATTATATTATTATTTTTAGAAGCACACCAATCATACAAAATCGAATATACCTTAGCTATCTAAATGGATCAAATACCTCAGTCATTATAAAAAAATGTAAAAATAAAAATATAAAAACATAAGATAATTTTTTATATAAAAATAATTAGTATATTCGATACTGTGAAAATATTTAGATATATAAAAAAATAAGCTAATGAAGGCATAAATCCTAAACCCTAAAAAATTAGATACTGCAATGTCTTATGTTAATTTTCTTTTTTTAAAATATAAAAAAATCTTAATTTCACAATATAAAAATAAAAATAAAAATTCATAGTAAAATAAAATAAAATAATATTTGAGTCATAAAAGGAGGAGGGATAAGAGTAACAAATTTAAGGGAAGGAGAGAGTTCGTAGTTTTTATGTTGAGAGGGTTCTTCCCCTAACTAAGATTCATTTTCATCTCACTCTACTCACAGAAACCCTAACAA